TTAATGTTAGGGCATATCAGATTCCATTAGGTCAGAAGGGGAAAGGAGAAACAACAAAGTTGCCATATTTCTTGGCACAGCAACAAACTTCCACTCAACATCAGCTCATAAGGAACAAAATCAGTAGTTAGTCTGACATGGAAGAACAGTGTTCACAGGAAAACTACAAGCGAATCAAGATATCTCACTTGAGAAGCAATGATATCGTTATGAAAAGAAGGGTTGTGGGTTATTGAGAGGGAACTCTTTGTAAGGCACCAGTTTCTTACTGGCATTCAGAAGAATCTAACGAGAGCAATCCTCATGCAGCAAACACAAGGAAGGACTCACCGTGCAGTGCAGATGCGGCAGGATCCAGCCACACGAGCCGCCTGCAGCCGCGTGCCCATGGCAACAGGCTTGCAACAGTTCCCTTCCTCTCCTCCTCTCACGGACTGAGAAGGCGGGGTTGGAATGGAGTAATTTAACCATACGCAGGGCTCTGGTTTTAGAAGAACAAACCTGTTATAGTGGCCATGCAGATTCCTTTAATATTATGCATATTAGCAACTATAAAGAAAAAAAAAAAAACTCCAGAGGTTTTGTTTTGCTCCCTTCCAACCCCAGAATTTCAGCTTTCTTTCATTCCAGCCTTATAGTCAGGATGTGCATGCAACTATGAGCCATTTTGAATCACATAAACGTCTCTAGTAATTACCAATCTTGACTGATAGCATATCAAACAATAAAGATAATAAAGAATAAAAAATCCCATTGCTCTTCTGTATTGCCTAAGTGTTGTTAATCAACTTAGTTTAGACTGCATTTAGGATGCTAAAAGGTTTTGCTGTTCATTTCACTTGGATATAAACTTCCAAATTTCAGGAAAAAAATAAAAGCTCTCACATTCAAATAATCGTATTTCCATAATGCTGCAACAGGCTTGGACTTCTTAACATCCAGGAGACAAAAGTCTCCCATTTAAAAAAAAATTAAAGGACCAGTAAATAATAAAAAAAGAAAGCGTGCAGCATATAACAAAAACCCTACAGTTGTTTTGCAAACATAAGCAAAGAATAAAGGTCAACAAAACTACCAGACCACTACTTAGAATTACCATTTTATTCTCTTTTGTGAGGAATTTCTTCTGTGAGGGATCACTTCAGGCACTCATGTGATTCGATCCACACTGAAAGCAAACAAACAAACAAAATACCCAAATTTACAGCCGATGTGTCACTGAGGACCAAAGATGACAGTGTTTATTTTTAACCATATACACATTTCTATCAATCATACTCCTGACTGCTCCAAACCTGGATCCGCTTCGTGATGTGCTCCAAAATAACAGTTCTGAAAGCAAAAAAAGAAACCTTCCTGGTTGGTAGCAGCATCGCACACGCTGGATTTGCTCCATTTTCTCCTAGTTCTGGCTCAGCACATCCTCAGCGTGTACCAATCTGTCCTGAGCGCACAGCATGACTCACTGCTCGTCTCCTGGAGCTCTTTCACAAACTAAGCTAGGAAAAAATAATCAATTCAACCATCTCAGTGAATCCAAAGTCCAGGAGGGACCAAGGTAAACAAGGAGAAGTGTTTTAAAATCAACAGGCCATTTTCCTTTGGTGTATTTCAACTAAATTTCTCTCGCAAACACACAATCACCAAACCAACAAATTAGCTGCAACGTCAGGGGAAACAAGCCAGTGATTTAAGAAACACAAAGCTGCTGAAAGTGCTGAGAATTATAGGCACTGAGATCCAGGTTCTCTCTTCCCACAGAGCTCAGTCACAAGTCTCCATAGCATCACATCACTCCCATCAACAGCATCAGCCACAGACAAAAGATTGAAGGCTTCAACTCTGCATAAAATCACTTAATGCTATGACCACTGATTAAAATCACTATACCAAGGTGTGGTGAAAAAAGGATGAGAAGAGAGTTAAAGCTGAGGGACGTGAGAAAGCTTTGACCTTCGCGTGTGCCATCTGCATGGACAAAAGTTCACATTCTTCTATAGAAATGGTGAAGTTTCAAAAGTCTTTGGTTTGTAAATATCTAATTCATTCAAGGAAACTAACTTCTACTTCAATCAATTTGTTCTTATAAAAAAAAAGAAAAAAGAAAAAAAAAAAGAAAGGAAAAGAAAGCACCCTTTCCCGAGGATATTTTTTAAAGCAGTACTTTTCTTCTGTGGATCTTGGTGATCAACAAACCAGAATCTATTCCAGTGTTTTACTACATTAGCTCCTTTACAGAGAAGGCAGTTGGCGCGGGCTCCCACACGGCAGCGATTCCCGCCCTTTCCTCACACGCGCACCCACCAAGCGCCGCTCGCCGCTCCCCTCGCCCCACGCTAGTAGCGGCCACACATTCCGATTCACCAACCACGCCGCGGACGCCACTGCTTTTCAACAACCACCGCCGAACGCGCTGCTTACGCTATTGACGCAAAGCTAGAAACAGTAGAGGAAAGGAGCACGGGGCCGCGCAGTTTTTATTCACAGAGCTAGGCTTACGCAAAGGGCGGGTTGCTGTGGTAACCAGAACGCGGGCGCGCAGGCGCCGTCGAGCAGCAACCGGGGCTCGGGCTGAGAGCGGCGTCTGTGATTTTACGGTCATTTGGTTTGCTCTTAAGAAACAGATGCTATTGTTAAGTAGGATTTTATATATATATGATTTTCTTTTTCCGTGCAGCTGTGTTTTGTTGTGTTGAGCAGTTTCCAGGGTTTCAGGCTGCTCCATTGCTGCGCTGAGGGCGGCGGGCGGTCAGCGATTCTTTCCAGGATCATTAACGAATTCCGAGGGCAGGTTTCCACTACAAACCTTTAGAAAGACCGTGTTTCTGAAAAATGGCCTTTTGATAGAATTTGAGTCCCTTCGGTAGCATGGAACATTCTAAAGGGGTTTTAACCCTTTAAAAAAACACTTCTCTCACAATTTTAATCTTTCTCCTTGCTTCTTCTCTTGATATTTTACAGTACTCAGTAGAAGCTCAAACCAGAAAGAACAGCTCATCTGATGAACCATCCCAGCCTCTTCTTTCACAGCTTCCTAAAACCTCACGCATGCTAGAATTGTGCTTTGAAGAGACAGAACCATTCAGTTTTAATGCTAATTAATAGTGGTGGCTTTGGTACATCAGTTGTCACCAAGCAGAATCATTTTACAGTATTTTTTAAGTATAAGAAGAATCCTCCCCAGACAAATCAGGAATGGCAAGCACTCTTATCTCAGCCAAGCTTCCCCCTGATGTAGATCCAACAAAAGCTCCTATTGCATTTGGGAGGAGAGCTCTGCCTAAACTGAATGGAGAGATACAATCTCCTGAGGTGCTGACTCAGCAACGGGCATTGATGGCACTCTGTGATCTGGTCCATGACCCAGAAAATATCTACCAGGCAGTCCAAATAGGTAAGTGGTTTGCTGCCATAAGCTTTGACGCACTGGTGGTGACAGAGAGGGATGTGCTGTACTGTGTTGTCCTGTTTTTACTCCTGCAGTATAATTGATGAGAGAGAAATGGCCAGGAAGATATCCTGGTTTTAATCTCTACTTGTTTTGAACCATAAAAAAGTAGAGAATATTATATTATCATTAAAAAAAAAAAAAAGAAAAGAAAAGAAAAAAAGAACAATCCACATCTCTTTAAAGACAGGCTAAGGGAACTGAGCTTGTTCAGGCTGGAGAAGACAAGGCTTTGGGGAGATCTCATTGCCACTTTCCAAGACTTAAAGGAAGCTTTGAAACAGGAGAGAGACTTTTTACATGAGCAGATGGCGATAAGAACAGGGAGTGGTTTTACCCTAAAGGAGGGGACATTTAAATTAGATATTAGAAGGAAATTCTTCATTCTGAGGACAGTGAGGCCCTGGCAGTGCTGTCTAAAGAAACTATGAGTGCTCCATAATTAGAGGCCTTCAAAGCAAAGTTGGATGGGGCCCTGGGCAGCCTAATCTGGTGGCTGGCAAGCAGCCCATGGCAGGGCGTTGGGACTGGGTAGGCTTTAAGGTCTCTTCCAACTTAAGCCCTTCTGAGATACTATAACTATAGAGAATGAAAAAATAGCAACAACAACCCCCTTTTATATTTCTTCATTCAACAGGTATCTACCTGCATCTTGTTGAGTACCTCAAACATAAAGTACCACTCGACCTCAGTGGACTAGTGAGTCATTTAGTGATTAACCAAAATTAATTTGCAAGGGCTATGAAGTCACTTTTTGCCATTCGTTCCTTCAGCAGTGGATAGCACGGCACACTCAGCTATAACTACTGGAGAGCCAAAACATCAGAGCTTTACACAGAATATTTCTCAGAAGTCTCATGATAATTGTAGAATGAGACTGTAACAGGAGCCTCAGGAACTTCATAAGAAATTAAAACTAAATAACCAGATTTTTTATACTTCTCAGGATTACATCTGCTCACTATTTTTAATTAATATATATCCTAACATTAGGAATAATCTTAAATTTGCAGTTGAGGGAAAAAAAAAGTCATGCAAGGTTATGTTCATAACATTTTTTAGTAGTCAGTTGTGTATTTACAGTATTGTTGTGTAAAAATGAAGTAGTCTTTAGGTTTGTCACTACCACACACATTTTCTTCATAAGAGGCACCAATAGTCACACAAAATAATGTAATCGTTGTTCAGTTACATTAGTTTTTTCTTCTCCAAAAGAAAGAAAAAACTAATTTCTTTTCTCTACTGCCAAACCAAGTTTATTTCAGCAGATGGAAGGTAAGGCTCTGTGCTCTTACACAGCCCTTGCGAGACTTAACGTTTACAGAAATGTAGTCAATCTCCAAACACCCGCTTTTCTGAAACAGTAACAGCACCACTGACATCAGTATACCTTTGTTTTTAGAGTTATATAACTTCCTAACTCTTAGCAAGGTTAGAACATAATCAGGTACAGAATTCAACAGCTTGTTTCTAGTATTAACCAACACAAGGTTAATTCAATGGGAACTTTCCATTATTCTCATCAGCTGTCAAATCAGACAATTATGTGGGGTTGATATATACATTTTTATTCTAATATGAATACACTTCAGAATTGACAACAGGGCATTTTTGGCTTTAAATTTCTGCTATACTTGCAGTACCACACTGAGAATTTTAACTCCAGGACAAGATGAAAAACCAGACTGCTTGCACTTGAAGTTGTGAGGTAGAAATGAGCATTGCACTATCAGACTAGTGCTGAAGTTATAAATACTAAAATCAATGGTTGTGTCACACAGGTTTCTTGGAGAACTTGAAGACCTTGCTGCTGCATCATGACAGTACTGTCCGAGAGAAGACAACAGAAATTCTCTATATAGTGTCGATGCATAATGTTGGCAGGTAGGAATAATTCCTACCTAATGGTATAGGAAGTAATAAAGAAGTTTCTGTGAGAAATAAAAACAGAATTTCTAAGTTTTTGCAAGATAGAAGCAATGAAAACAACTTATATTTAATATAATATTTAATTAGAGATTATGCACCTGCCAAGTATTTGAGTTATATTATGCTTAGTTAAATCTGTTCTCCAATGTTTATAGGCAAGGGTTGATACAAAATGCAGTCATACCTGTCCTCACTGAACTCTTGGATGACCCAGAAGACATTTGTCGGAAGAACACACATCAAGTGTTTGACATGATGGCCAAGTTACCTGAAGGTAGGGGATTTTTCAGTAATTAATTATTCAAAAGGGGAAAACAAACGACTTCAGTGTTCTTTCATCTCTCTGCCTTTAAAGAATTCTGCCTCGTACCGGTGCAGACAGATAGGTATCATCCTGTGATTATAATAGATCATAGTAGATCATAATAGAAATTTCAAGGAAGCAAAAACTTAATAGAATAAATATTACTGAGTTTGTTTTTTTGTTTTGTTTTTAATACCGATCAGTAGTAATTATTAATTATTTTTTACAGTGGTTATTAGTTCTTTCAAAACTCCATATTTCAGTAATAAGCCTTGCTGTTCAGTCTGTACTGAACTTTATTCATATCTATAAACTTCAGATTACTGTACCTCTAGTCACATCTAATGCACGACCTTATCAATCCTCTCATTTTACTTAGGAATTTTCAGTTTAAACAGGTAAACCACTTCACAGCTTAGGAACTTCTGCACAAAAGGTTTTTAAGATATGAATTTGAGGCTTAAACTTGCAAAGTACAAATAATGTTGTATGCAAACACCTATTTGGTATGAGGTTCTTAAGATACAACTTTTCCACATAGCTTAAGTGTCTTTTCTTAATAGTTTGATATTTTATGATCTTTTTTGAACAGGCTGCACAAATTTGAGCTGCAATTCTGTGACTGTGAGGTCAGAGTTTTGACAGCTAGGAGTAGATATTCACTTTGGCAATAGCAAAGGATGAAGAATCATAGAAGACTAACGGTTAAATATTTGCTGCTTTAGTTTATGTCTACTATTGCAAGCGTGCCTTGTTTTCTTGAATGTTTCAGTTTGTAGCAAATTTTGAAGTTAGTGAAGTTAAGAACAGTCAACATGCATTCAGTCAGTTGTACTTCTGAAGTGCTTCAGCCACTTCAGAATTCAACTTGGACACAGGAAAAGCTTTCTTGTTGGGTTTTAAAAAATCCTTTTAAGTATTCACTTCTATTATGTCAGTAGAAGTTGAAGGGAATTTACTTCTCACCTATGTTTATGTTTTAACATACTATATTCCTTACTCTGTGGAACTATTCACAAAAGCTGAATTCAAGTGCATTTTATCTAGTAATTTGACATATATCACTTGCTTGGAAGTTTGGGTGTCAGCAGCTGCAACTAGTTAACAGTTTGCTTCTAAATAATGGTCTTTTGTGGGCAGACTGCCAGTTCAACAGGTTTAAAAAAATGAACTAAAAATGAGAGTTACATAGAAAGCATTTTATCACAATCATCATTTCTGCTTAGAGAAATATTATAGCAGTAAGCAGCACTAGCTCTTGGTGGTACCAAAACATAAAAAACTGCTTATTAAGAATTCAAAATACATTCCCCAGAGTAGAGGATATGTAATTGTACATCATACTGCCACTCAGAGATCAAGGACAGGTCTACCACCACTGTTCCATCTGTGTCCCTGCAGGCATCTGAATATTTCATCTTAGCTCAGGAGTCACTGATGGGAATTATCAGGGCTGTACAACACCAATTCAGTGACAATGTGAGATTCTTCTATACGAGGAGAAAAGAGTTACCTCCTGGAGTGAAAGATTATTCAACCCCTGCTGCGCTGAGAGCTGTCTCTCTCCTTGGAACATTGCCTTTGGTTGAAGGCAGAGGTTTCACAGAAGCTCTGAAGTGAGCAGAAGTCTGCCATATAAAGAGCAGCTTCCAAATCCTGTTACAATCCCAACTTAGTGAAAGTTTAGAAGACAGACTACAATTCTGAGGACAGCTGATTTGAAGTATCTCATGAGCCAAGACTAATAGCTGTTTTCCCATTTTACCTTTCTGATGTTAGATACTGGTGGCAGATAAGAACTGGGTTTTCCAAATCAAGTTATCAGTAACAAACTTTTTTTTCAGAAAACAGTTCTAGAGTTGTAGAAAGTAGAATAGGCTAACGAGTAGCATAAGGGGAAAAGTATTTAGTTTTAGAATTAGTTATTTAGTAAATGCTGTATATCAGTGCCTTCATTACAATTTCCTTACAGATGTAAGTAACAACAGTTAATTAATTAGAAACCTGCTATTATAGTCTGTATAGAATTTCTTTCCCTTCATTAGTTCTCAGTATAACCCTGGTATTTACAGTACTCATGTACTCTATTTCTGTGGGCCAACTCTTTCCCTATTCTTTTTTTCTCTTTATGAGAAATTTAAAGTGGATGTAGAGGAATTATTTACATCTGTGATGCAAACAGAACTTTAATCTCTGATCCTATACTCAGAACTCTCAACCAGCTCACATCCTCTTTATGCTTTCCTTGAATTATGCCTTTTTAGGTGAAATTGTCTTCTAAAGTTTCATTTCCTCAGCTGTGAAATGATCCCAGATTTGACCATTTCCTTTTTGCTACTAAAAATGCTTAAGAACTTATTCAAGATAGAAATCCTTGCCATGGTTAAGCTAGTCTTGAATAGCATTCTTCAGACAACATTTTTATATAGCATAGTTTGACATTTGGGGGGAGGGAGGGGGAATAAAAAACAAAATAACCTGATCCTCAGAAGATCTGAAATTATTTCTCAATCAGTGTAATACGTCAAACAAATCATCTTTGCCTGGTAATTGTCATCTTCAGCCACTCAAAAAGCTATCTAGCTTCATCTCTCTTCATATTCCCTTCAACAGTTCACATCTAGATAACCTTGTGTGACACAATGGAAGGCCTGATAGTGCCTTCTACCAGAATAGAAGCATGCTTGTAAAGGTGTTAGACATGATTGAGTGTAGAAAGCAATACAGACAAAATCAGCTTACCTTTTCCAAAGGCTGATAATCTCAAAAAGGACACAATCTTCAAACAAAGGCACGCTATTTCAGTTGCTAACCCTTAAATGGGGGTGAGGAGGGGCAGACCCCAGGGTCTGGGCCCAACTCTTCTGGTCATTTGGGCTCATTGTCTGCACCTGTGCTCCCTGGCTTAGCCACGCCTTCTCACTTTGTGCACAGTCACTGGTTCAGTCTGTGGCCTAGCAATTCCTGTATACCTTGTATCACATGGAAGAAGTCAGCAACTAATAAAGCATTCCCAGTTATGTTTCTGATGTTTTCTATGGCAATTTCCAGGACCAATAAAGCAATAGGCTTCATACTAGCCAAAAAGGAACATAAGCTGTACGTGCGCTTGGCATGTATTCAATAGAGGATAAAAGAGGAAAAAGAACCAGTAGCAGGAGAAAATGAACACTGGCCAGGAGACATTACTAGCAAAACTTCAACTCTTCGTGAAAGCAATTAGTTGAGATTCAAGAAGGTACTTAACGTTACTGAATATTATGCAAGGATAAGTGACCTTGGCAATAATAAATGCAAAAAAAAGCTGTGAAAGAAAGAATTATTTTTCCCAGGATGTGTACAGTACTAAAAATATTTAATAGTTCTTAGCTATAATCTTTCCTGTATTTTAAGAGTACTTAATCCTTTTAGACAAAAATTGAAGTGGATTTGATGACACTGGATTTTGAAAGCTTACCAGGACCTCTTTTTTGGAGAAGTCCAACAAATTAAAGTTCCTCTGTCTTTACTGACCCTCACTGTCCTCAATATTATACATTTACAAAATCATAATGAATCAGTTCTATGAATAAGGACTGTTTAAAGATACCGTTTTCCCTTTGAAACCTGTTTTGTTGTGTGAAATGCACGTAATGGAAGGACAGATGGCATTCTTATTGCAGCAGATGGAACATCTCTTCTGTGAATGTCATTGTTGTCCAGGTAAAGTGACATCCCAGCTCTTCTAATACAGGTTTTTTTTTCACTGCATCACTGATAAACCTGAGAGCTGAGGAAATAGTTGCCAATTTAATTGCATTCTTTATTCAGGTGGAAGACTGAGAGCTAGGGATTTTTCAGGGCCTGTCTTGGATACAGACTTTTTGGTTTTAACCTTCCCACACCTCAGTCTTCTTACATAATGGGAAAATAAAATCATTTGATTTCCATGTAAAACAATTTAATGCCTTAGAAAAGGGTAGCCATGAATTACTTAGAACATCAAGATCAAAAACATCATAGAAATTAAATTACTGGAAGGTTAATAGCAAGTCATTGCTATTCAAAGAATGATTATATGAACTGATTAAACTTCATTATTTACTATTTTATTCCATCACATTCTTATGTGTAAATTAACTACAAACATGTAGTAAAATGCACTGCTTCGGTTTCTCTTTTATCTCCCAAAAATCAGAATTTGAGGATAAATGCAATTAACTTCTTTTATTTAGAAAAATCTTTATTCTTTTGATAAAATGCCCTAGGTTTTTCACTGCTATTGTAGATTGCCTATAGTACTTATAAGGACCTTCTCAACTGAATAATTTTTTTGTAATTGATAAAGTATTTCTTATTCTCTTCAAAATTAACTATGCTTTTCGTTTTGCTTTTTTTTCAATCAGCTTTCTTATCTTGAAGCTGTGCTCTAATAAAAGCCAGTATTTTCTTGTCACTCTTTTCACCAGCCTGAAATGGCCACTGTACTATGAAAGCCAGAGGTGAAAGGGGCATACCAGCTCACAGTCCATTAATGGGAAAAGGAAGGCCAGGCTCATTGTAAATCTTTTCCACAATTTTCACAATTAGCTAATAAAAGTGTATCACACTATAGAAAGCAATTTAGAATGGAAACGCTATGGTAGTTCTCTCAATTTTCTTTCCTGTTGCTTCTTAATCTTGATCTATGGCTTCTCTTCTAAAATTGCTACTAACGATCTCCCAAAACCATCTAACAACAACAGGCAGTCATAATTTTTAAAGACATTACATGGGAAGACATCCCTTGAAACTTGCAGAGTTGGTCAAATGTAATTGCTTAAGATTGAAATTTCCTGAATGTTAGTGAATAAATTGAACAAAACATTCTGGAACCAATTAATAAAACTCAGTATTCTTAAATGAATCATAACAGTATTCAATTAAGTAACTGGTATATCATAACACTAAGTAATGAACACACTATAGACAAATGCATTATCATTTGAGTTATTTATTTTTTAAGTGGACAGTTTAAATGTTGATGTTATTAACCATTTTGTTTTAAATTTCTGAGAGCCCTTGGCTGAGATTTCTTGCACTAATCATAGTACGTAGGGGGAACAAAAGTAGAAGGATATTTTCCAGTGTGCATGTGTGTCTGTGTCTCTGTGTACGTATGTGCTTTACAATTATCAAACATATATTTACACACCAACTTTACACTGAAGTCTTTAAGAAGTCTTTTCTATGGCAGGGGAAAGAATCAATGATCCATCTGCGATTTTCCAGTATAGTCCCACAGAGTTTCTTATGCATTCAAACCTTTGCCGGAATGTTACTCCATCCAGTAGTGTTTCTTCATGAGATGAAACCTGGAGCTGAGGAATGTATCTCTTCAGTTTCCTTGACTTCACTAAACTGTAAATAATTTAAATTATTAAATTGAAATATCAAGACATTTAGTTATTGTTCATATCACTCATCTTTAACCTTCTAATAATACATCACATTTTTTAAAATAATTAAAAACCCAACGAAAAAAGACTTTGGAGGCTATACACTACACAATCGCCATGGCTCCTGTTTCTTGGGAAATCTGTTACAACATTACAGTTCCCAGAATGTATTTGGAGCAGTGGAACAGAATCGTCCATTGGCAACTTTCACATTCAGCAGTCCAGACACTACAACAATAATTTAAAAAACTGCTTTGTGATTTATTTTTTATCTGTATTAAAAAAGAAACACTAAGCTACTTCTTAAATATAGAGTGTTGTTTTTTGGGTTTTTTTGGTTTTTTTTTGTGAAACACCACAAGATTTGGCAAAAAAAGATGTAAAAGAAGACTGTTTTGATGTATAAAACTCCTTATCAGTAGAAGAAACACTGACCTTAATTTGGCCTATTCATTGATTCATTTTCTGTAGTTTTGCTGCATATTTTGAAGCCTTAAAAAGCAGAAAGGGCTGATAGTCAGTTTGGAAATCACAGAACAGTTGTGCACCAACAATTCCTTTAACAGGCAAGGTGTCCATGAAAGAGTAAAGCAGAAGTGTGTACACAGTATATGCTGTGAGTCATGTGCATACCTGACGCCTGTGTATATAGTTGGGCTGTGTGTACCAGTACAGAGGGCACATGTCCATTCTCTATATCTTTAAGTAATATTTTCCTTAAGCACTCCTTTTCTGCAGCTTTTGATTTGAACTAGTTATTCACCCCAGTGCAATCATTCTGCTTCACATCATGCAAATGAGTTCATCTATCACTCACCAGCTTTACATCTTCATGTCAGTAAAATTTTAGGACAATTGGATGATTATTTCTTACATAGAACATGATAACACTCCCACTGTAGGAAATAGAATGAAACAAATGGAATAGAAGTGCAGTGACTGTGGTGAAAACATCTCCACAGAGTTCGGCCTCAATCTCTTTTGTTGATTTTGTTTGAATTTTTTGTGTGGTTTGTTTTTCATCTGGGGGCATTTTTATTTGTTATGTGTGTGTGATTTTTTTGGAGAGGAGACTTTCGCTCTCCATAACATATATTTGTGAAAAATAATGTAACAGGCTAGTGGGGCATAAGAGGAACTGCATACATACATCAGATTTCCCCTTTTCTCTCCTTGGGCTAAGCGTTGCCCCATTGTTTCCACAAGAAGTGGAAATGGTTAGCCTCTTTTTCAATTACTTCAGCAAAACAGATTAGCCCAAGGATTTTTAGCAAAGGCCAATGTATTTGAGATTGTTCTGAATGATGACATCTGTCACTGCATCAAAGACAAACTGGATGTTACTGGTATCAGTGGCGCAGGTGAAGTGTGAGTAGATCTCCTTGGTCTCCTTGTTGCGATTTAAGTCCTCAAACTGGCGCTGGATGTAGACTGCTGCCTCCTCATAAGTGTTTTGGCCTTTGTATTCAGGAAAGCAGACTGTTAAGGGGATGCGTCGGATTTTTTCTGCCAGCAGATCTTTCTTATTCAAAAAAAGGATGAGGGAAGTGTTGATAAACCAGTTGTTGTTGCAGATGGAATCAAAGAGACGCAAACTTTCTGCCATTCGACTCTGTAGGTGAGAAAATAACAGGGTAGATAGCATTTCAGAAAGCACACAGAATATATTATTATTTCTATTAATGAGCAAAATGTGTTTACAGAAAGAGCATTTCTTCTATTTGGCAACTGTCCATCTTACCTCAGCAAGAAACTTCAGGAACCTTCATTCACTCCTTTTGATAATTTTTTCTACAGTCTGGCTCTTATTACTGTTAATATTTTTTCAAATAACTGACTGTTATGAGGGCAGGTCTAAAACTAAATGTTTGGAAAAAACAGGTTTAAGCTGTGAGGGGAAAAAGAAAAAAGTTGTATAACAGTAAAGGATACATGAGAAAAGGAACCACATTCTACTATGGTGGGGCAGCTAGAATCTTGTTCACTTCTAAGTGAACGCTGAATCTGACCAGATATGTTGAACATCTTTGTGTGCACTGCCCTAAAAAGGCAGTTCCATGATGACCGATGTAGAGCAACCAACACAGTTACAAGTTTGGAAGTAGCAGTGCAGTGCTGCTATAAACTGAAAGCAGGGATGCCGCTTGGAAGTCATCCGCCATTTTGTAATTGCTTGGCATGGTTCCCTCAGCGCTCCTGCTGCAGCGGGAGCTGTCCGTGGTGCTCTCACAAGACTGTTTGTTGGTAGGTTGGCACCAATAGGTGTAAACAGATGCAAAGTTTTGAAATTGAAAAGTATTCTAGCTGATTAAAATAAAAATCGTTCGAGTACTGTCAAAAGTAAATACAGATCATAGCTTAATCAGGCATTTTTCCGAAAGGTCAATATTTTCATCGTGTTCTAGTATTTAGTCAGATATAGGTCTACATGAAAGATTTCTAAGGTAGGCACTCATTTCTTTTTAAGGAAAAGCTACCACAGTTAAGCAACAAGGTATAATTCCAAACATTTTCAATATCCAGCAATATTTTTTCTGATTAAAACTATGTGCTGTTCAGCTGTGTTCATGTATTGCTGAAAGTAGGAAAAGGCTGAAGAGTTCAGATGACAGTATTGATGGCAGTATGATTTGTGTAGTGTATTAATCACATTTCAAAGACATGCATGGCAGGGCTCTTAGTTTATTATAGCCAGATGACATCTTGATATACCTGAAAATCTTAAATAAGAACGAAATGTCCCCAGTTCTATGATGAAGGCTGACGCTCAAAACTGAGCCTTAAAGATGCATGATGAATCCACTCATGGTCTTCCCAAAAATGTGAAGGGAAAAGGAAAAGGGGCAGGGAGATGGGAGCTGGGCTCAGTGGAAAAAAAAAAAAAAACCAGAACAGAGGCAACAATCTTATTTTACTAACTATGATATTGGAATGCAAGATAACACAATATAATGCAATCTACTTGAAATTGAGCCTAATAAATCAAATAAAATAGGAGAGAGAGAGAGAATTTTCTGAAACAGAGCAAACCTGAAAGCACACAGCTTAGAAGCACCCCCCACTCTCTGCCAGGCAGTGAGCAAGAGCAAAAAGGAAGGGCCAGATCCTGTGACTTCCATGACAACATGACAAACACATTTCTGGTTTTGTCAATATTGCAAAGCTACATATTACAGGAAAGGGAACTTGGGAGGATTATTGATTACAATCATTAAAAAAATAGAACAAATTACTGTACTTCTCCCAAAGGGGCTAAGAGAATTTTCTATTAACATGGAGGAAAAAGTAATGGTAGAAAAAGTTATATTTCTTCTCTGCAGTGTCTTTTCCAATTCAGGAATCCTGATGGAGGCAGTTGGCTAGGCATTAGAAAAAAAAAATACTGCTGTAATTTCAGAATTACATAGAAGATAGGCAAGATAATGCTCATACCTTTTCCATACAGTCTTGCTGGGGTGTAATTGCAGGCTCTTCTCCAAGCATGAGAACAAGGAATTGGTTGCTTAAGGGGAAAAACATGCTAAAGAACAGATGGCTGCTTCAATTCTTCCAGTAATTTACAAATGTACAAATATCCCTGATCATTCTTTGGAACAGGTGTGCTTTGCAGCCAAGAGTTCCAGAACAGCTAAGAGTTTTCAAAAGGCAAGACCCTGTTATCAAGATAGGAAGTGGTTAGGATAAACACTTGATGAATAGAGATAAAGTGGAATGTAGTATTTCTTCACAGCTTCCCTATGAAAGTTTTTTGGTCATAGCTGAGAGATTTCTGAATGTGAAAATGAAAAATGAAGAGAGAAACTATCACAAATGAGGGAACTAGCTATCATTTGTACTAAATATTTAAGAACTTTCTCTTGCAGTCATTTTTAAATGTCTGGCATTTGGGGACCACGGAAACCTTTAGTAAACTAAAGAAAATTTATCTCAGGTAAACAGAAAATATGCTGGATAAAATTAGTGCAGGAATAGTAATGTTTGTTTTTCAGAAAGGTGGGCAAAATAAAGTCAATAAATCTAGGAAGAACCAGTGGAAGCTGCTTCTATTTTCCTGCTGCAGCTTTTCCTTGTGGTTGCAGCTGGCATTTAGCATATGCTGGTAGCTATTTCAGAAAACGCCACAAATCTTTTTCTGTTTGAGGTATATTATTTAGAGACTCACACCTTCAGACCTTCTGAAGAAATTAAGTGAAACTAAAATATTTGAAGAATAAGTGGTGTGGTAAAAAGGTAATTGAATCCACTGGATATAACCATGCGAGACATTTAAATTTAGTATCTTAGCCCTCTGAGCCTAAGCAGCAAGTAACTGAATGCTGCACTGACCTACAAGGAGAGAATGAGGGAATTTGTCTTATTTAGACTGGCTAAGAGGCAGCTATGGGTTGATCTAATAAAAACCTTTAATTACTTGAAGCATAGTTACAAAGATGATGAAGATAAATTCTTATCAGCAACATAACATGAAGTATCAAATGGCAGTGAACACTAATTGCAGCTTGGAAGATTCAGATTAGAATTTGGGAGAAAAACATCAGCAGAAGACTCGAAGTGTTATGAAATCTTCATCTGTAGTTGTTTTCTCCCCTCAACTAGATAAAGCTATAGCTGGCCTGATTTACTGTTGGCAATAGTCCAGCTTCATTTGGGATGCGATAATAAATGACCTGCAGAGATCACATCTGGCCAATCTTTAATTCCATGAATTGTAAGAACATATTTATCATTGAAACCATATATGATAAGTAAATTTTCTGTATTCAGTTTTATGCAGATCTCAAACTTTTCATCCCAAAGGGGAGAATTTAACCACAAGGGTTGTTCCTCTGCTGGAAAGAGCTATACTTAGCTGTTACTTCTCTTTTGATGATGTAGGATGAAAAGGAAATAGTCAAAGACTGTAGTTGTGGCCTCTCTGAATACCCATTCTTGACTGCTTTATTTTCTGTCAGGCTCACCTCAAAGCCCAAATGTCTGTCACCAAAGCAACCACTTGCCTTAAATGAAGTGAAATAATGCCTCACCTGTATAAGAGAATCACACTATTTTCTCCAGGTATAGTTAGAATGATAGAATACTTTTTTTTCATTTACAGTTACCATAATGAATGCTACAAGCATACTGGTAAGGAAAACAAAACTTTAAAGATTATTAATAGCAAAGAACTCTATCATAATGACAGTTTCTGAAAAAAAACCACCAAATGCATTTAATAACTTGTACTTGACAGAAAACCTAAAGCATGACCTCCCCACACACTATTTTCCATAGAAAATCTGTTGTAATAACCCCTCAGAACAGAGCTGTAAGTTTACAATCATAGATCATGTTAGAAGTCCACCTTCTACTGGCTGTTCAACAATGTATTTTCCTATCCAAATTAACAGAAAAAAGCCTTTTTTTTTTTTAATCAGCAAGTACGAAATGAACTTCCCAGGAACTAGTGACCACCACAAATACACAGAAGTATGCAACATACCATAAAGAGTGAGATAAAATTATGATACATCGTCTATATTTATTTGATGCTTTCCTAAAAATAATTAAAATTTCAGGGAGAAAAAGAAGTTACTTTAAGAATCATAGAATCACAGAATGGCCTGGGTTGAAAAGGACCACAGTGATCATGTAGTTTCAACCCCTGCTATGTGCAGGGTCAACACCAGACCAGGCTGCCCACATCTAGGCTCCAGGCATTCAATGTGAAGTTATTTTTAAGTTCTTATTCTTAAGTTCTTTTAAGAACTTACAAGAACTTATACGAGAATATCAAACAAGAAGGATGTAAACTAGAAAACATAAAGGTTGTAAAATTAAATGCTCAAATGTCAAATGCTGAAATAATTATTTTCAATATAATACTATTCACGTAACTCATGTGTTGCATGAACACCTCTTTTTCTTCATATGCCAGTCAATATTTTCCTTTACTGTCACTACTCATTCTATAGATTTATACTTTACTATAAAATTACTATTTATGAGCTGCTGAAAAGACAGAATTACTAGTTTCTCCTCAAGCTTATAATTACTATATCTGAGTATTTCATTGGCTACATTTGTTTTCCCAGCGTGTTGTCAGATTAAGAGGTACCGCTAGCAATGATTTAGAAATAGGAAACTACAAAAGGAGAAATTAGTTAGAAGGGACCCAGTAATTCTAGATACCCAGTTTAGGCACTCAAAACCTCTTTTCTCAGCACATGCTTTTCTTTATTTAACAGAGTTATAAGAGGTTTTTGAAATTCTCACTGATACCTGCTGTAGCTCTGAGTTATCAGACCTACAAATCAAATCACAAGGTATCAGATTAGGTACCTTAGAGAAAAGGAAGGAAGAATTTAGAATTACCCATGAAAGTGTTTATTTAAAAAACTGATTTGCAACCAAAAAGGACCACAGACATTCAGAGATATCTAGTACAGTTATTCAGTGGGACTCGGCTTCTTTAATCATACAAACGTTCTGTTTTCCTATCATCCTATGCTTCATTCACCTCACGTTTTCCTCCCTCTGAAGCAGATGATAGCATTGTTCCTAGAGTTGACAGTCTTATTTATCATATAAGCCCTCATTAATCACAGAAAATCCATAATATTCATTGAACAGGGC